AGGCACTTCTGGGTTTGAATCACCAACCTTTGGGCTAGTAGTTGAGCACTTCATCATTTGCACCACCAGAGACTCTTGATCATTTTTAAATTATCTACGCTTTTCATATTATCTTAAGAAGTTCAAGGCAAAATTAAACATTAAATCAGTATTTCTAATCAACCCTTATAAACAGCATTTTTCTTCTTCCTTTTCATTGTTTTGATTTTCTATTTCTTTTCCTATTTCTATTTACATTTAATAACCTTATTATAATGCATCTTTTACTTTAGGTTACCTCAAACTTGTTTTTAACGAAGTTACATGTATCCAAGAATAAAACTTGATTGACAGATTCTTCTACCGCAGCCTCATTTCCTAAAGCTGCTTCCCTCTGTCAACTGGGGAAAAGTAAGCAAACACTCAGGCAGGCAATGCCATGTACTGCATTTTTTCAATCACTCATTTCATGTCAGTGTTTGAGATTCTATGAAGAGAAAGGAAAAATATGACCTGGCAAAGTCTTGTTTTTAGAAAACGGTTTCCTCTGGAATTTTCCTTCTGTCCTCCACAGATAAGAAATGCAGCAAGTGGGTTAGAACAATCAATGATTCCAGATCAAAAGGGTAGCATTTGCCCAGGGACAAAAGTTCAGAAAGCAGGAAAGGAGGAGGAATGGATATGGGAAACACAGGGAGGAAGTGGGATGAGTGATGTTACATTGTGGGGATTGCAATCAATGGCATGAAACAAAATGTGTATGAACTGTTGAATGGAATTGCTCTGACTTCGCTAAAAAAAAAAAAAAAATTGTTAAAAAAAAATGTAGTAAGTGGGAAGGAATAATGGAACTACTAAAATCCTTGTTTATTAGACATGGGGTTGGGGGAAAAAAATGAGCTACTCACTACAAAGAGCTAGCTCACAGTGAGAGCTAAGGCAGTGACCCAGCCTAGACAACAGAACTTCAAAAACACAAGTTTCATAGCCTAATTAAATAAGGCCTCTTTTGCTTACCCTAAACTTCACGAATGTGCCCCACTGTCAAGAATTCACAATACGCAGAGAATACTCAGGGAGTCCTATTTCTAAGTGAAAAATCACCCCCAATTTCTAACCAATAAAAGAACTCGCTGCCATTGTATTGATTGTGACACATGGTGATCCTATAGGACAGAGGAGGACTGCCCCAGAGGGTTTGCAAGGCTGTAATCTTTACAGGAAGCAGACTGCCATCTCCCACAGAGCAGCTGGTAGGTTTGAACTGCCAGCCTTTCGGTTGGTTAGCAGCACAGCACTTAACCACTGCACCACCAGGGCTCTCTTTGTAACCAATAACTTTGCTGAACTCCACGGGGGTGAAGATCAAATGACCAGAAAAACAGAGTGATGAAACAATGGTGACAAAATTTCTTTCAGAGATGTTTATTACAAACCAGGATTACTTGGCAAAATTAAGGGATCTTTTGAGAAAATAAAAAAGCATACTCAAGATCTCTCTCCCAACATACACACACGTGCACACACAAGCACACACATCTCATATGCTCAGGAAGAGGTCTAGTCCTGAAGACTTGAGAGGACTTTAAAGCAACCCTTCCGAGCAGCTCCCTCTTCAGCTTTACAATACCCCCCTCTTGTGGCAATAGTCCGGGCTGCTCCACGTCCCTGTGCCAAACTGGCATTAACTGCCAGTGTTCTCGCTCAGCCTGAGAACCAGATCTACTGTTGCCAAAATGAAAAGCAGAAAGAAAAAAGCCACTCTGGTCAGCCAGCGTTTCCTGTGCCTTTCAGCCCTCATACTCTGAATTTAAATTGGGTTACTAAAATGCAAAGCTCCTGAGGAAAGGGCAGGCTGATTTCAGCAGAGCCCACTTCTAAAACTGTCAGCATGAGATGCTACTGTTTTGAGCTGCCCAATTCCAGATTCATAGTGACCCTACAGGACAGAGTAGAACTGCCTCATACAGTTTCCTAGACTGAAATCTATGGTAGCAAATCATCAGGCCTTTTCTCCCTCAGAGCAGCTACCAGCTAGTGAGTACAAACTGCCTCGATCTTTCAGTTAGCAGCTGAGCGTTTTAACCACTGCACCACCAAGGCTCCTTCAAGGTGAGATAGGCTGATGCAAATGAAGGCTCTCAGACTTGATGCTATGGGCCCCCTTTCCAAAAAAGTTGTAGTGGCTTCCTACCTGGGGACCTGTAGTTAAGGTAACTTTATGTCTAAACACAGAAACCAAAAATCAGTTGCTTTTGAGTCAATTCCACTGAGTTGCCATCGATTCACGGTGATCTCATGAGTATCAGAATACAAGTGTGCTCCTTAGGGTTTTCAATGACTAATTTTTCAGAAGTAGATCACCATACCCTTCTTCTGATGTACATCTGGGTGGACCACAACCTCCAACCTCTTGGTTAGCAGCTGAGCATGTTAACTGTACCTTACTGGGATATAACTCATATACTGTAGTATTCAACCCTTTCCAGGTGCAATTAGTGGTTTTTAGCATATTCACAGTTGTGCAATGATCATCACTATCTAGTTTCAAAACATTATCAACCCCCCTGCAGTGCAGTGAATTGCTTAATATGGCCCTTCTAGCCATAGTCCTCCATTTTGTGATGTATTCTAAATCCTAGCCTCTAGGCACTAGACTGCTAACCAGAAGGCTGGCGGTTCAAACCCACCAGCCACTCCTCAGAAGGAAGATGGGGCAATCTACTTCCATAGTGATACT